TGATAGAATTTAATGATGCATGCCTACGTACTTGATAAATACCACTCAATCAATAATACATGAATCAGAACAACCAACAACAACCAGTTAACCGGCCTGAACCAGCAAAAGAGCTGCTACAACCTATATGGTCCATACTTTCTAATTGTTTGACTCAATCATGCGCCTTGAATGCGATGTTTACAGCAAAGGAAGAAGAAGAATTAAGTTTTCCTCAGAATAAGATGTTTGTGGTTGATAATTGTGTAAAGGAAAGTGATTAAAGAAAAGGAAAGAAGAATATATACTATTATATTGCTGCTGGTAATATCTTAATTTTGCATCAAAAGAATAAATCTGAAAGTTGATACAATTCGTTTTGATCATGTCTAATTCTATAAGAAATATAATTGAGAGATATTTTTGTTGCATGTATATTAGTTTCATGTTATCTCTACTTATTCAATGCTGCAAAGCTTCCACTTGCAACCATACATTTTGAACTCTGTACATCTTTCTCTAAACATTTAGAGCTTGTTTTGTAGTGTTCTTGTTTCATGGCTACCACATAAGTACAATATATACGCAATTCAACCTTAATGTTTATAAATATAAGGATCAAAATATTGATACGATCGATAGCGGGATATAGGGGTTTTCAAAGTTTGCTAGGAATCTAAAAAGCAAAAAAAAAAAAAAAAAAAAAAAGATTGAGTATCGATTTGTATGGGTGTTTTATCCATGACAAAATGTATTTGACAGATCAGATTCAACTTGAAATGGAAACACCAAATTTTTGCATTGGGTTTCATGCATAAATAGGGGTGTTGGAAGAAACCTCATTTTGACATTTCTTGGGTCTAGATAGCATTTTTGTCCTATGCCATACCTGACAGTGCATACATGTTTAAAACAATAACAAAATATATTGTTCACAGAGTTGTGTCAACATGTATAGTCTTCTTTAAAAAATATTTAATTTTTTCTTTTATTTTTTTTAATTTTCCATGATATATATATATATATATACATACAGAGAAAGAGATAACAATTGAATATGCTAGTTGGACTAGTTCTCTCCATGGGTGTATATATTACCATTGGATATAAGTGCTTTAAAACCTCGAAGGAATAGGTCAGTTGTCCTGGATAATAGGGTACATGCCCTTAAAGTGATTTATTATTCTTGGAAAAATCTATTTGATGCATTCTATGGAATTGTTGTAACATAACTCAACATGATAGATCGGTGACATCTTTAATATTGTTAAAATCTTTAATGATAAGTATACATTATGAAACACGAAATCATATGTACCTTGTGTAATGTGAATCAATGAAGAGTAAGTAGACCATGTGATGATGCCTTTTAGCATGATTGGTTGAAATTTTGATTTAATGTGCGGAATGTTTGAAACTACTGTAGTGCTGCTTTCAACATATAAACTCAAAAAATTAGTCACTAAGGATGTGTTTTTAGGACATGAATGATTTTTCTTTTTTTAAATTTGTTTTCAAAGTTGCCACATCAACAGAAAATTGAAATATGTTCTTAAACAATGCTTTGTTTTGAGAAAGAAAGACAAGTTGGTTTTATTTTATAATAACAATCCATGTTTTTGAAACAAAAATAAGTTTTAGAGTATAGATCTATATGATTCATGAACATGATATCAAATTACCAGATGAATCATATTCTTTAAGCAACAAAATTCAAGTTCATATCTTTTGTTTCAATTTTGAAAACAAAAAACACATATACAACTAAAAACATGTTTTCTGTAATTTTGTATTAAGAACCCAATTATTTTCAAGCCAAATGGTTTTGATTTAATTTGTTTTTGGAACTCAAGAGTAAAACAATTCACATTGACTAACATCTCATTTAAACTCATGGATTTAATTGAGTCAATCTTCTGGCCGTCTAATTAACTGGGGTGGTTTAAGTTTTGTTCCCACTATTAATATACTAATATGATTATTTCTTCTCTATATCCCGAAGGAAAACCTTGTTAGGATAACAAAATATATGGTTGTTACTTGTTAGTGAGGCTCTAAATAGACCACCCAGTTTTTATGACATGTTCCTTTCATTTACTGGTAGAAGCTCACCCCAAAAATTTTAAATGCATTTTTATATTCATATTCAAAACAATTAGTTTTCAATCATGAAGCAGTATAAGCTTTAAGATATTGTTGTGTTCTGAGTCGTTTCTTATGCTCAACATAGTGGAGGTATAGGTTGTATTTAATTTTTACAAAGAAAATGACTATACTTCATACATCAATTTAAGTTAGTGATCTCTATTTGAGCTCTAAGCTGTCACTCTTTTGCTCAAACTTGGCGTTTCCTGTGATTTGATTTTGCAATTTTTTAATTTCATGCACTTGAATATAACTATAAAATATTGGTATCATCAACATGAACACAGACACCCCAAAGAAAAAACTAATGATGGTAGCAACTAAAATCTGACTTCTAAAATAACTTAGTTAATATATGATATGTTAAAATCAAGGTTCAAAATATTGATACGTATCGATCAATTGATACATATCGTGTCAGGAACTTTCCGATACGCTTTTATAGGAGTTGTATTAGGTCAGACTATGATTCAGAGGATAGCCAAGACTTAAACTGACTCTTCTAAACCGGTTTTAAAAAATAAATAAATAAAATATAAAAAAAAGCACCGACACAAACCAATACGCTTCGATACTTTGAACCTTGGTTAGAAAAAATTTCTCATAATCCAATGTATTGATGATGACTGGTTACTATTTCAATTAATTATAGAACAACATACCAGCATTCATATATCAGATGGTAATTAAAGATGATTGTTAAACAAAAAGGGGGTATAACAAATCAACAATAAAATACTCTATTGCATTTTAATTAAAGATATACATGCAAATATAACCGGCATAAGATATTTCTGCAGTGGATGAATAGCCATAGAATTAATTTTATACCAACAGTTCAATTGCCCATTTCCTAATTAACCCATAATATATGAGAGAGAGAGAGATTAGTAGCTCATCAGATGGTTGGGAGACACCTCTTATTCCAATTTAGGGAAACCCTTTTAAAATTTCTTAAATGAGCTGACGAAAGGTCATTGATGAGCGTATGCATGTATTGTCTAAACTACTCAAACAAAATAAGTGTAATATATATATATATATATAACAATAGCAGAAATGATAAATGATGATCATGACGATGGCTGTTGACTTGCTGTGTAGGATAAGCTATTTTTAAATAGTGTGTGTGTGTGTGTTTTTTTTGTAGTGGCAAAAAGAAGAATTTGATTTCGTGGAGTATGGTGTCTCATTCTGTTAAGAAATCGTTTTACTATTGTATTATTTAATGTAAATGTTTCTTCCTTTGACTCGCCATCTATATGGAATTCAAGAAAATAAAGACGGGCTGCCCATTTTTTTTAACTTGATATCGTGCTAAATAGAATTTGGACCGACTTAAGGCTAATATTCACTACTTAAAACTTGTAACAAGGACATAAGAAAATGACTAGGGACCTTACCTCTTTTTAGAGATCAAATTTGTGCCCCTAGAGTCCTTCTCATGTTGTAATTGGCGTAGTTAAATGAAGTGTATTTGGAGTAACATCTAAACAATTAATACGACTATCAAAGAATAAATTGCCTATCAAGGTTACATCATTGATAGAAGAGTTCAGCAAATACATAAAATGGAAGAGTAAAAAGGTAGCAGACACGTCATATACTGATGCAGACGAATTTCCTTCTTATTACTACCCATTTATAATTAAACTATATATCACCAATATTAATAGGCAAAAGAAAAATCAAAGTTAAGATATCAGTGCCAATTATAGCTAGGTAGGAAAAATTAGCCCAGTTTTGACAGTTTGGCTATTTTCTTCCCTTCTTGGTTAGTGATAACTAACAAAGGCAACCTTACTAAAATAAGGTGAGAGAGGCAAGAAAGCAAAGAGTATAAAATAAAATATATTGAAGGCCCCAAAGCCCTACCCTTTATAAAAGAGACTCCTCACCTCAAGATATATAAGTATGTATGCTCTTAATTATAAAGCCTTATAGTTATTACTTCAACTTGTCATAAACAGTTTATTATATTACAACATACTGCACCCCTCTCTCTCTCTCTGTTCTCTAAAAATTATAGAATAATTAATTTTTTTATTAAAATCATAAATTACATATAGACTAAATATATCAATTATTGACAAAGTTACATCTGCCACAACAGTTTCTTGATAATCTTTTCAAATAACTTATTTCCAACCTAAAATGAATTAAATAATTTGGTAATAACTAATTAATGTAACACACTCAAATGGACGATCTTCCACATGCATTTACACTAAGATGGGAAATTTCGTGAACCAATGAAATTAAGCTTCAGAATATGTAGTCACAGTTAGTTACACCACATTGTATTTAATTAATTTGAAGAGGGGTTTGTTTCGAAACATAAACATGAGAAATCGCCTAGTTGTTGTTGCACCACATGGGGGTGCATTAAAGCTTACTACTTACGAACAATATGATCATTCCCGTGTCAACAACCCGCATGCAGTTCCTTGTAGTAATTAATAAGCTTGCCTTTTATATGTATTCAATAAACTACTCCAAAGAAAGAAGATCTCAAATAGGCAACCTCAATAAATTACATATTGCCTGAATACGTTTGTGTTGAACTGCCATGTAAATAATAAGGTAACCCGTTTGATTCAATAAAACAGCATACCTGAAAATAGTTTTCTATTCCCTTTATTATATATCTCTCAATATGAGCAATATGAAAGACAAAGTATTGTTAGTGAAGTTTGCAAATAGGTGGGAATTGATAGTGAGGGTTAATTATGTGCCAATAGAAAAGCAAGAAAAACTATCAGTATCTCTACAGATATATAGTCTCATCGTATTAGGCAAAGCCACAAAAGTGACTTCTCATCCGCAACCCATAAACCAACCCACTTTCTTCTTCTTCTTCTTCTTCTTCTTTCGGTGCTTCTTCTTCCTCCTTAATTCTCTTGTTGCCATAAATTATATTGTCTAGGTCTCTACTTATTGGAAGATAATCTGCAGCTCTGTGGCCACGGATTTAATTGATAATGGAGGACTCAGGGTCTGGAGCAAGTGATGATGGAAAGACTTGTCCTCGAGGACACTGGAGACCTGCCGAGGATGAGAAACTCCGGCAGCTTGTCGAGCAATATGGCCCCCAGAACTGGAACTCAATAGCAGAAAAGCTTCAAGGAAGATCTGGTACATAGAAGACTCTCTCTCTCTCTCCCCCTCCCCCCCCCCCTTCCTCCCTTTAATTTCAAAGCTCAATTACAGTTGGATACTAATTAAAATTCAACCTTAAACATCCATTCAACCTTTAAATTACCTCTGAGGATCAATTTGGTAGAATTATATCCGTTGCACCATAATAAACAAATTTCTTTTCTTCTTTTGTTTTCTTTTTTTTGATCAACTCCATGATAAACAAATATGAAGTTTAATATCCCACTTCCTCATCTACTAATAAAAGAAATTATCTCATTCCCTCCCTCTCCCCTCCCACCTAAAATTTCAGAATCACTAATAAATGGTCGTTTTATTTGTAATTTCCCAAATAATATTATATATATATTTATTTTATATTTTTTAATTCACAGGGAAGAGTTGCAGATTAAGATGGTTTAACCAACTTGACCCGAGAATTAACAGAAGGCCATTTACGGAAGAAGAGGAAGAAAGGCTTCTCGCAGCTCATCGCATTCATGGAAATAAGTGGGCTTTGATAGCTCGTCTCTTCCCTGGTAGAACTGACAATGCTGTGAAGAATCACTGGCATGTCATCATGGCTAGAAAACACAGAGAGCGGTCTAAGCTCTATGGAAAGAGGGGTTGCCAAAATTTTTTTCTTCGAAATTCCAGTGCTTCCTCTCATGACTACGGAAAGTGTTCAAGACCCCAAATAGAGAACCAGTCCAAAGAATTCCAGTTCAACCGTAGTGAGTTCCTTGAATTCCAAAGTCATGGAAAAGATGGGGTCTTTGAAGTATCCCCATCGAGTTCCCCCCAAACTTGGGTATTTTCGAGTTCAATGAATACAACCAGCACACAGTCAGTAGATACTTTTCATGGCGGAGGGAGGGATTACTTCAGTTCTAGTTGCTGCATTATGGGGAGCTCACATACTTCTGATCTGCAACCTCGCTATAGCTGCTATACTAATTCCTCTCTCTACAGCGGATGCAGGAATTTCAGTGTACCACTGCTTCCTAACTACAAGGGGTTTACTTATACTCAGCATGGGAACCCTAACCAGAGTGATCATGGTTATGAGAATAACAAAATGATCAAGAGTACCGAGTTGGAGAGATTTGGAGATAATGGGCTGACACCAAAGTTTAGAATGACTACAGATCAAGAGCAAGGAGATGACTCCAAACACAAAGATGTGCCCTTCATAGACTTTCTTGGTGTGGGCATCTCTTCTTAATTACTGATACATGTAAAATCCTTTTTAAGTTAATTAACTCCTAAATTTCTTTTTTGTATAATTTTATCTCAACTTATATGGCTGAACATGGAAAAGCATTTCAGTTCCTCCAAGGGAAATGGTGATGAGGTTCATATATATTTATGAATTAATTAGAATACTGTTCTTGACTTCTTGTTGTCTAGGCTAGGGATACATGAATTTTGTTAACTTTTTTTGCTCTTCATATGTTCATATTATAGATAACTAATACAGTTTCAGTCGTTTCTAGATGACAATAAAATTTCACCTTCTCTCAAGTTCCAATATCTCTGAGACAGGCTTTGTTCACATCTCCATGCTCTGAAATTTTCATGAAAGTTATAAAATAAATACTACACTTGCATCAAAAGACAATGTATATAAGCTGAGGTGTTCTTGTATGTGTTTGGCCCTATTCATCTCTTACAAGTTATTGACATCATGCACAAGTCCACTATACTTTCCATGATTGAGTCTTACTAACTAAAATTATAATAAAAAGAGATGCCTACTAAATTTGTGTCATTTGGGTAATCAAATTCATATAGTACTTTCTTTAATTTGATACCTAATAGTAATAGGTATAGGTATATTACACGTCTTATTAAGTTAATTGGTGTGTTAATGCATCACAATCTGGGTTGCCATAATTAGATTCTTATATTGGAAACATGCCTTACCAAAATAACTTTTATTCAAATAGTTTAATTGGCGGGACAGCTGATGGATGGCTTGTAGCTAAAAAGCTAATTCCAGTAAAGGAACCAACTTACCTGCTCTTAAACTTCTTCTTTCTAGTCCTTGTAATTTATCTTAATTTTGGATTATGATTATTATTATTATTATTATTATTATTATTATTATTATTATTATTATTATTGGATTTTATAGGTTATTTGCATGCCCACCAAAAAAAATTAAGAAAAAATGACCAATTTCTATTTTATAATCTTCTTTATTGACGCAGCGTGGAAGCAATGAAAACCGGAACTGGCGATGCAAGCACCAGGCGTTCGCTAGCACCTAGCGAAAAACACCGATTTCTCTAGGAGAGAGAAAAAGGTGGCGAAAATAGGAAGAAGAGAACTTAAAGAAATTCTGAAAATCTAAAGTATGAATTGATGAATAACTTTGGGAAAATAGCAGTATTTATAATACATTTGGAAATTGTAAAAGAACTAGAAAATAATAACTAGGATAGATCTAAACATCTAATTTGATAGGATCGAACTCTCCTTGGTTTGATATTCTCCGTCCGATCTCCTTAGGTGCATGGATCTTGGATTAT